AAAAAATTGAGAAATGTCATGAAAGTTATTGAAATTATTTGAAAACTGGGTTTTCCATTTCCGATTTTTTTTGGGGAAAACAACCAAACAGACCCTAAGAGCCCGTTTGGATTGATTTTTTGGAGCTGTAAAATGGGGGAAAGCTGCCAAAAATGTCAGTTTTTTGGCAGCTTTCCCCATTTTACAGCTCCAAAAAATCAATCCAAACGGGCCCTAAGAGATATTGTGTTGGATTCCACAAGCAACATAGAGTATCTAGTTCCAAGTAGCTCAACTCAATTATTGACACGCATCCGGACTTAATTATCCGTGAATAGATCAAAGCACCAAATTAAGCTGTAGCAAACCGTCTTTCTTCCTAGGGAAAAAAAAAGCTTCATCCGTGATTGGTCTCCAAAAAGCAAGCGGTGTTATTATAATTCTAATCTACAACTTATGAGGGAGAACAAAGCTCAAAAAGAAAAAGATACGGAAAAAGGTTCAGACAAGCATTCGCTCAAAAAAGCTGGGGACGAAAGAGCCGCTACGTGTCGGCATTATCATTTTAATAGAAGCACCATATCCCGACGGATTTGTGTCATCTCCGCGATTAAAAAAGATTAGTTGAGAAATTATTACTCAGCGATCCCAGACAAATTCCTATTTTATAATATATACATATTATATATATATATATATATATATATATATACTTTTCCCCCTTATAGCTACTCACAACCATGCATTTGAATCGTGAATAATAATATTTGAATAAAAAACGTTTCCATTGCCCGGCCATCGCGAAGAGGATCGAAATCCATCAAGAAACAGATGGACCAAAAAACAAAAAGGAGGACAAAATATATGACCACATGATTTCCCTAGATATTATAAAAATACAGAAATTGGGAGAAAAAAACAAAGGTAGGTGTCTTGTTTAGCTCCGGTTTATCCGGGAGTTTTTTTTTTTTTTTAGTTCATACTTTAAGTGATGGTGGCGTATTAGGTTACCCCATACGAAGGAGCATCGCAAGTTACTAGGTTTTAAATTTGTCCTATAAAAGGAACCTGTATGTTATTAATTAGTCTGAGCGTGACATATTTTTATACTCCTTTTAGATATTTTACAGTAGAGGAATTAACTTTGTAGCGAAATGTTTTGTGCATTCATTTAAGGTAACATGTGAAGTCATAGCCAGGGATGGCTTTTATGTACCTAATTAATTAGATTACTAGTTGGTTTGATTAAGCCTTGATTGACATCCACTGATGCGGGCTAGCCTTTGAAATCAATTTAAAAGGACCTACCAGACTAAGTGCTAGGGTGGCACTACAGGCACACCCCCAGGCATACCTTGTGCCCAGTGGCGGAGCCAGGATTTTAATCCTATGGTGTCCTATAGATGCATCGGTAATGGTGGAAAATACATCATTTTAATCCTATGGTGTCCTATAGATGCATCGGTAATGGTGGAAAATACATCTCTCTCAACATAAGCCACCAAACTATCATTAATACATCTCTCTCAACATAAGCCACCAAACTATCATTAAGCTGAAAAAATTCGAACCCGCGCGCATGCTTGGTTCCTTGCGAGATTCGAACCCGCGTGCATGCTGGGTTCCTTGAAACCCTTTTCCGCTAAACCATCTATACTTTTGTTATTTTTATATGTGCTCTCTGGTAGATATTCAATTTTTACTGGTGTCCTGGGAACCCAAAGGCACCTATTCAGCTCCGCCCCTGCTTGTGCCATTTTCCTAAGTGCTACTCGTATTACTTTATTTCGTAATTGTTTATTCGCCTTTTTTAGTAATATGCAATGCTGACAAGGTCTCTGTTTGGTTACATAAACATTACTCTTCTATCATAACCGTAAATAACTCTTATTTATAGTGAGGATGCCAACATTTTATTTATTTATAGTGAGGATGCCAACATTTTTGCAGCGCAGGTGTTCAGGACCTTCAATGAGAAAGTCACTGATGAGTTCAGAGCCTGACTCACTTCGGTCTTGCAATTGTATTTAAAAAAAAAAAAAAAAAAAAAAAAAGGAACTGACTCTGATTTATGACTTCAATTTGAATTAATTCCAACAGTTTTCTGTCAACATTTATACAAAGAGTGAAAATGTGACCGGCAGGGAGTAATTCTTGGATAAAGAGTTGAAGAGATTTGGAGTTAATTAGTTTGACAGTTTTCTCAAAACTGGGTCAGGACAAGATCTGATTTTTTAAAAATCCATAACAAGTTCAAGGGGCCTTTTTAGATCTAGGAAAACTTGGGCCAAAGACTGCACAGGTTTTCCCAAACACATTTGATTCCAAAACAAATCCAAGTTGAAACTTGGTCTCCTTTTTGTTGGTTGTCTAAACATGATCTTAGGGCGTGTTTGACAATTTGTTAAAATTGAGTCAGGACTGAACCTGGTCCATTTTTAGATGCTTTTTTGTTTGATAAAACCTAGGCTAGTTATGTCCAAGTTTTTGTAGGCCAAAAAGAGCTCATTAAACTGGCCCTAGTTACCAATTTGTAATGATATTAGACCAAGACTGATCCTAACTCATTTTTTAACATATTGCCAAACACATCTAGATGGTACATAGATATTTGACAAGGCTGCACCTAACTCAATGGAGATAATTTAATATTTTTCTAAAGTTTCCTCTGTGTGTCTATGTAGTACTCTTCAGTCACATAAGCCAATAATTCAATTTTCCACTAACCAAGTTACGTATACAAATAGGAGGGTTACGCAACATTGAAGTATCATGCACATTGATTCGCCCCTTAGAGATAGCAAAGGAAGAAGGTTGTGCGTGTTAATATTGAAAAAAGTCACCTTCTCATGGAGAGGGACGATTCTATTAGAACTCTCGGGTGGTTGGTGTTCTCGGGTGAGTAATATGGTGGTGGGTCGTAAAGTTTCTGAATTTCCCCGCGGAAAGAGCATGTGATCAGTTGTAGTAAACGCTTCCATGGTGTTTTTGTTGTGTTTTTCTAGAAAAACACATTGGTGTTTGGTTTTTTCTCCCATAGTGTTTTGAAAACACCATTGTGGTTTTGAAACACTAGTTGCAATGCGTAACAATTTACACGAATAACAACCTACATGGAAAAATGATATGTATTGTAAATTGTAAATTCTCCAAGACAATCTCTATGACAAACTACAAACAAAAGTGCTGAAATTAAATTCTCCCTACATCATCAACAGAGACCCCCGACACAAACTCAGGTTACAGAACATATAAACTAGACCACCACTAAAATAGCAATCTCCAATTAGTAATCATTCTTGATTTTTCATAATTTATGCAACTCTCAACCATTATACAAGTTCGAAATTAGAAGGGGGTTAGTGGGAGTTAATCAAGGGGAGAGGAGTGAATAAATTACAAAACAATTCATATATTCAGAAAAAAAGGAAAATTAATCAGATCAAGAGTTGATAATGTTTACAGTGCATTGAGAAGGGAGGCGACGGGATCTACGGGAGACGGCGACGAGATCTGGAAGCGACGACGATGGCGGAAGGGTTCAAATCTGAAGCTTGGGCGACGTCGACAACCACGCCATGATGGCGACGAGATCTAGAAGTGACGGCAACGGCGGAAGGGTTCAGATCTGAAGCTTGGGCAACGGCGATGACTGACCACGGCGATAGGAGACTGCAACGGTCACGGCGACGACCACGACGACAACGATTTGGGTGACATGGCGACGACCAAGGTTTGGGCGACGGCGACGCTCGGATCTGAGAGCTTGGGACGATTTTTTGGGGGAAATGAAAATAACGACCCTTAAACACCTATTTGTTATTTTGAGAAACCCGTTGAAAGTTTGGTTTTGTTGTGGTTTTGGACTGAAAAACAAAGTGGTTCCCAAACTCATTTTTTAAACAAAACAAAAACGCCACAAACGCAGCGGTTACCAAACACAACCAAATAGTTAATTTTCCTGTTGTGAAACCGTGGATGCAGAAGTATCTGGTAAACCCTATTAAAAATTTATGTGTTATGTTGTTGCGTACTCTATATTTTGTGGTGCTCGTTTGCGTGCTTCACAATACTGAATACAACAATATATTTTCTTGAATGGAAAATGAAAATGAGTGGAATTCACGGATACATGTGAGTTACATCAAGATCAAACTTCAGTTAAGCAAGCAAAGTATTGTTTATTGTTCTTCATTCGTTGATGGTCCAAATCTTATCATCCCTTTTTTGTGGGAACTATAATACATGTTCGTTAGGAACCGGAGCAAGAAAACTAGTCGCCGTTCTTGGGCTTAGTCCATACTGTTAAATAAAGCCCAAGTCTGAATGATTTGATGGGCCCCTCTGACCTTTTCCGTCCTTTATTACTTTCACGTAGCTGATCCATAAGTTAAATACCGTGAGTCATGACAATCTTTGAAGGAAGAGAGAAAGAGAGGGGGAAAAACCAGTGTAAACTTATTTTTAGGTAATAAATTATTTTTATTTGAGAAAGAATGGCATAAAATTTCATCTGACCAAAATTTCAGACTCTGATTGCACTTCCCGGGTTGAGTCTGATAGAAAACTTTCAATAGATTGCAAACACGAGAATTTCCCCTGAGTTTTCTCATATGACATGCACATGCTAATCTCGGATCGTTTTTCATCCTTAGTATTTTGTTGAATTTACTACTAATCACACTACATCCCAATTACATTTTAAAATAGAATTATGATTGGTTTAACAACATATTCAACGAACACTTAACAACAAAAAAGTTTTAAAATTAGTTTGCGAGCGCCTTATAAGAAACATTGGGAGGAAGTTCTCACACGTTTGCATAGTAGAAGTCACTCAAGTGCAACTTTTACAAACTTTAGGGATACAAGTGGTGCCGAAATCAAGTGAGGGTATATAAGCGCAAAGTGAGGGAAACTATTAAGGTTTCAAAGCGCTAAAACAAACACTGCTATGAGGGTATTCTCGTAATTATCCACAAAGCAAGGCCTATTTCAGTAAAATCCGAATCCAACATTTTGAATAGCTTTTAATTCGACGGAGACACCGAGCCTCCGAAGAGAGCAGTTGAGCTTCTCGATTCAATCGAATCCCCCTCCAATCTCTAAAACCCTAATTTTTTACCTCCATTTCCACTCTCAATTTCTCTCTCCCTCTCAAATTTACCGATCAATGGCTCAGCTCGTTTCGACTCCTTCCGTCAACGCGTCGTCTTCTCTCCTAAACCCTAGCTCTGCATCTAAGCTTAAACCCTCGTCCATTCCTTCCAGATTTCGTGGAGCTCAGAGGAGAGAGGGGAAGAGAAGCAATGGGAGTTCTCGTTCTCGAGTTGAAGCCGTAGCCAGTAGGATCTCCACTCTGCTTCCAGTTTCGCCTGATGATTTGCTCAAGGTCCATCTCATTTTCCTCTAATTTCTCTTTAGCCCCAAAATTTTATTGTTAAAATTTCGATTTTGGGACATAAAATCTACTATTTTCTACCTTTTGAAGTGATATAACTCAATGTACTTAAATGCGTATTCATATGGTGATCTTGATGTATCACGATGCCTTGCAGTAGAATTAAAAGAGAAAGATTCCAACTTTTATAATTGCATAGCGTTCTTGGCTAGCATTTTACTGAAGCTTCCTTGTTTAGGTGATATACTCAATGTACTCGGAAGTATTGATGAGCTTATGTTACTTTTGGTTGTTCTTATTCTGAAATCTATCTCTCTTATTATTGTTATTATTTTTCTGTATATAAAGTTGAGATATTGGCATGTTTTTCATGGAAAAGAATTAAACAGGTTGCCTTTATGATTAGGGGGTCATATCATTTTGTTTTGAAAATTTGATGATAGACTTTCCTTGCTCATTTTCTTAATATTCACAAAAATCCATATGAGCCCCTAGCTTGCAATTAAGTTGAATTAATTTGAGATGCAGTATATACATGATCCACCATCGACAAGAAGTCTTTGTTTTCTCAAAAATTTCTGGGCTCACGGCATTAGTATTGTTGCAGGCAGATGAGGAATTTCAAAAGCTTAAGACTGTTCAGCAGCGTGGTAATGAGTCTCTTAGTGTGTGGTCCAATCCAAATGTGAGGCGCAAGACTAAAATAGTTTGCACCATTGGACCATCCACCAACACAAGAGAGATGATATGGAAGCTTGCAGAAGCCGGTATGAATGTTGCCAGGCTTAATATGTCCCATGGAGACCATGCTTCTCACCAAAAAGTCATCGATCTCGTGAAGGAGTATAATGCTCTATGCAAGGACAATGTGATTTCAATCATGCTTGATACTAAGGCAAGTCTCTTCTCATGGTTCTTTCCTTTTGAAGGTCTATGGTGATTTTTCTTCAGATTTTCTTTATTCCATGAACCTTGATGCTTGAGTCCTTAAATAAACCTCGTGATAGAACTAATTTTTTGATGTTGCATTGCACTATGTGTAACAAGGAATCAAAGTTTGTGTGCCTCAAGAGTTTGTTAGTGTCAGTTTATTTATTTGTTCCCTGCTCCAAATCAGTCCATGTATCGTGATTGAGTAAATCATTTATCTTTTTCTTGTTACAATTTTCAGGGCCCAGAGGTTAGGAGTGGTGACCTGCCACAACCAATCAACCTAGTAACTGGTCAAGAGTTCACCTTCACAATAAAAAGAGGGGTCAGCACTGATGATTCTGTTAGCGTGAACTATGATGACTTTGTTAATGATGTGGAAGCTGGTGATATGCTTCTTGTAGATGGTATAAACATTTTCTATTTTTTCTTGTTCATACTTTTAACATAAAAATATATGAGGCTTAAGTACACGGAAAATGGACTTGGTAATATGAAATCGCATGCATAAGTAGATTGCTGAAGGTCATTAATAGGCATGTGTAACAAAATATAGGTCTTGTGTAGTTTAAAGCAAAACCCAATTGTTTCGCCATTCAATTCGCATCATTGTATGTACTTCACTCTGTACTTTCACTTACATTCTGTTAACTCAAGTTGATATGTGTAGCATCTTTGACTGGTCTCATTGAGTATCATGTTTGGTTAACTCCATTTGTGATATTCATTCAAGTGATCAACTGAGTTGCTAGTCAGAAATATTTTCTTCCATCAAACAAGAGTATTTCAAGCATTGTAGAGTCAGTTTTGTGTGTAGCATGGGAATGATTGAATAAACATAAATATGTTGTTCTTCAATGTGTTGCATATAGGGGTGCTAAACCGTATCCGTATCCGAGGAAATATCCGTAACCGTATCCGTTAGGATACGGATATGGAATTTGCACTGCACAATGAAGCCACCAGCATAAAGGTCAGTAAAATGTAGTGGTTTTTGCAAATTTATTAACCAAGAGAAATCATAAGAGACTTGGATAAAATTGAAAGTGACAACGAACTCGTCCAAAATATGGAAACCAACTTCAAAGAGTACAATACAAAGTTGCGTACCCATGAAATTGCAGCACAATTTCTATATCTTAGTAATAGACAATTAAGAAAGAAATCCTGAAAATAGATTTAATAAGATTATTTTCAACAGAAATGGATGTCCAGAAGAGCGAGTAGTGATCCATTAGAAGATAGAATAAGAAATGCGTGGATGAGTAGGAAGCTAGACTAGCCAAAATGAGGACAAAATAAAGGGAGAACATGGGCATGTGAACCAGAGATCATTGAGTGTGTTAGTTAGAAGTTGTAGGGTCGTAGTCGGTGGAGCAAAAAGAATTGGGAGCTGTAGGGTCGTAGTCAATGGAGCAACAAGAATTGGGAGTTGTAGGGTCGTAGTCAATGGAACAACAAGAATTGGGCCATAGCTACATGAACATGTATTGAGATAGTTCAAGAAGATATCAAAGTGTTAATTTAACAAAGAAGATGACTTTAGAGAAAGCATGAGGATGGATTCAAGATTAGGGGTGCTAAACCGTATCCGTATATGAGGAAATATCCGTAACCGTATCCGTTAGGATACGGATATGGTTACTCAAATCTATAACCGATAGGATATAACCATCCGTTAGGATACGGATATGGTTACTCAAATCTATAACCGATAGGATATGGTTATAGATATGGTTTTATAGTGAAATATCTGTATCCGTATCCGAAATATTCGAATACGTATTAGTCATACTCTTACGATAGTTTCGATTCTTAGATTATGGATTTGTGGTTTTGATGATCAAGATGTCTAATCTTAACTTTTCAGTTATAATGAACACATTAACGAACTATTTTGTATCACATGAGCTATGTTTTTCTCAATACTATATAGCTTTTTCATATCCGTTTCGTATCTGCATGCATATCCGCTTATATATCCGCATGTATATCTGTAACTGTATCCGATTTTAGCGGATATGGATATGAATTTTCCTTACCGAGTTATATCCGTATATGTATACGTATTCGAGATGAGTAAGCGGATATGGATATGGTAGGCATCATATCCGAGCTGTATCCGGACCGAGTACACCCCTAGTTGCATACCACCCATTTTCATCGTCTGTAATCCATTTTGTTTATGTTTAGACTAGAGGGTTTAACTTCTAAAACAAGACAGTGCAGAAAGGGACACATTACTATTTACTAGCGATTTAACAGGTGAATTGACCAAGTTTGATGCTTAAGACAATAAGAGAGAGAAAATAAGAATACACAAGTAGAAGTCGACACATGCCAATGCCCAATGGGCATTAGCATGAAGTCGGTTGCAATCTATAAGAGTGAATTCTGCAAAAAGAATTCGTAAGTTGAAACATCATCATTGTGGAGATATGTCAGATTATGTATTTCCCTTTCTCTGATACTAGTAAATCTTCTATGAAATCTACTAGCTGCTCTTTTTCTTGTCATGATTCTAAGTATCTACTTTCACTTTTGATTCTTCTAGGAGGAATGATGTCTTTGATGGTGAAATCCAAAACCAAAGATGATGTGAAATGTGAAGTTGTTGATGGAGGTGAACTCAAGTCTAGGCGGCATTTGAATGTTCGTGGAAAAAGTGCTACATTGCCATCAATCACTGGTGAGGAATAGGATAAGTTCATGATACACATTATCTCTTAATTCTCACTCTAAATTTCTCCAAATTCTTGGTTTTTAACATGCTTTCTATTTACACATATAAGATTGTTTTATCTTTTGCAGAAAAGGATTGGGATGACATTAAGTTTGGGGTAGAAAACAAAGTAGATTATTATGCAGTTTCCTTTGTAAAAGATGCTGACGTTGTGCATGAATTGAAAGAATATCTGCAAAGTGAGTACCTAATTCTATGTTTAATTATCAACACTTTCTGTGCTTGTTCCTAAGAGTACAATTTTTGGTGACTTTTCACTGGTAACTGGAGCTCTTTTATATTTCAAATTGGCAGGCTGTGATGCTGATATACATGTAATTGTGAAAATAGAAAGTGCTGATTCCATCCCAAATTTGCATTCTATAATTACGGCATCTGATGGTGTAAGAATCTGACTATATGATGCATTTCTTATATTGCTAATTTACAATAATATTTATATGAAGAAAACAATATGTATATCTGATTATCTGGACACAGCTTTGCTCAATCTGAACATTTTATATAACTAGACCAAATATCAGCAGAAAATTCTCTTATTAAGATTTTTTTTCTTTTTCAAAGCAATTAATTTGTCACCTTTTATTGAACTTTCCTTAAGTTAACCATCTTTCGTCTTTCAAGATTCTTGTTATAAGGAATTATCAGATCTTCACCTTGTAACTTTTTTAGCTTTAACGTGTGACTGCAACATTGATTCCTTTTGTCTCTTGTCATCTTTGCAGGCTATGGTAGCTAGGGGTGACCTTGGTGCTGAACTGCCTATTGAGGAGGTTCCTTTGCTGCAGGTACTTGTTTCCTCTAGCGAATCACAATCTTAGTGAGATTAAATGCCGACTTTCAGACTTGTTCAGTTACTGATATTCACAATATATAGTTTCTTTTACTACAGACTGAATTTGGAGATTTACTGAACTAGCTAACATGATTGTCTCTTGACTGCATCAACATATTAGTGATATCTTTTATTCTCTCAAGTGCAGGAAGAAATCATTGGAATGTGCAGGAGCATGGGAAAAGCTGTTATTGTTGCAACAAACATGCTGGAAAGCATGATTACTCATCCCATGCCAACCAGAGCAGAAGTTTCAGATATTGCAATTGCTGTTCGTGAGGGTGCCGATGCAGTCATGCTTTCTGGAGAGACTGCTCATGGAAAGTGAGAGGATCAATTTTTTTAGAATAAAGGATAATTCCTTTTCTTTTGAAAATGTCATCTTTCTTCTCTTCCATCTTTTTCCCTTTCAGGTACTTGTAAAAGTATCCAACCTGTAATAGTATCCAACATAGAGAAAACAGCATTTTAGGTTTCTATTCTTCGAAAGACAGGCTTTAGTTAAAATTCTTAAATTCAAATAAAAATCTGCTTGATGGCTGTATAAGGATGCTGAAAACTTTCTGTGATCAGTAGTATTTGTCAACATTTTCTATAAATCCATAAATTCGAAAGACAGGCTTTTCAATTGCATCATTCAAGTTTTATATTTTCTGTCTTCTATACTGCATTAATGCACGCATTTTTTCTGAAGTAGTATTTCTTGGATTAATTTTTTTCTTAGCTTTATCTCTATAATTATATTCACGACTCATGTGTGCATTTTTTTAGTCAATACCCAGTGTGAAAATGATGAATGGTTGACTTTGGTTATACCCATTCAATCATTGATAAACAACTTTTGCATCTGTTAACAGCTATTTGCATGACCCTTTGCAGGCACCCATTGAAAGCTGTAAAGGTTATGCACACAGTAGCTTTAAGGACTGAAGCTACGCTGGATGGGTCAGAAAAACCAGCTAATCTTGGACACGCATTTAAGGTTAAAGCAAGATATCCTATGTGCAATAATTTTGCTTGTTCACAGCTTCATTTCTTTCTTCTTTTATTTTATTTATTTATTTATCATTTCAGTTCACGTTCTTGAACTCGAGCTTTATTTTATTTTATTTTATTTTTTCTTGCAGAACCACATGAGTGAAATGTTTGCTTACCATGCAACAATGATGTCAAACACTCTGGGCACATCAACCATAGTGTTCACAAGAACGGGATTTATGGCAATCCTACTTAGTCATTTTCGACCCTCTGGCACTATTTTTGCCTTCACTGATGAGTGCGTGTGAAATAACTCCGGTTGTTTTTATGCTAGTTAATTCCTCTAGTTTAACTTTCTTAAACTTTGACTTTGCCTTTGCAGAAGGTTGTGTGACTAGCACCAATCACTTTCTTTTTCTTGTACTTTGTACGTTTATTAAGTAGAACATTGAAACTGAATTTTGATTATGACATAGGGAGAGAGTGAGACAAAGGCTAGCCTTGTATCAAGGGGTGTGTCCAATCTATATGCAATTTTCAGATGATGCTGAAAAGACATTTGCCGAGGCTCTTTCTTATTTGCAGGTAACTTGTAGCTGGGTATCTTCAAGTGCTTTTTCAATTTCAACATCTAGATTAGTTTATTCATGACATATAACAATAATACTATATGGTAGCTATTTTTTGTTTATCTTAAGTATGCTTCTTGATGTAGTCCTCATTGGACGAAAGTCTTTCTTGTAGTTTGTCTGAACTCTCATGGATTATAGAAACTTCCATTTCTAACCTTGAGATTCTAGATGCTTGGATATTTTTTTTTCCTGTAAAAAGGTTGGCACTAGTTAGATATTACCGCTCATCCATTCTATATTAGTTATTAATAATATTATGATACGTTGGAAGCAATTAAGAAGCAATTAAGAAGGATATGATACCGGTCAACGGATAGCCGGCCTCGAAATATTTGTGATAAAGGCTTTATTGTTATTAAACAGATTAAAGTAGATCTTCACAATATGCAGGTCTTGGCCTTTTCTGCATTCTAATTTCCGAGTACTACTTGAGAACAGATATGAATGCTCACATCATACCCTTCTAATTGTGCTGTTTCGAACTGTGGGAATGTTCTGCAGGAACATGGAATGGTGAAGCAAGGCGAGGAGGTAGCTCTCGTTCAGAGTGGAAGACAACCCATCTGGAGATCGCAATCGACGCACAATATCCAGGTCAGGCAGGTGTAGCTCACTCGAGTGTGAAGCCTTTTTGTCTCGAGTTGCACACGAAAGAGATCGAATTAATTTGTTCATTCTTAGAGTTTTGAGTTGATATCCACATTCTAGGGATTGGTTTCTTATCCTTTCAATTTTGTGTATTCTGTATTACGTGCTTAGTTGTGTGTAATGAGGTGACTGTTTGGAATCCGTTGTTGATTTATTGTGCATCAGATTTTGTTCTACGTGAATAAGATACCACAATTCTTTAATTTCACTCTGTTGTTTTATTCCTGTTACGGATGTTGCTTTATACGGTAAGGTTTGAGCCATGACTTTCAAGACCCGAAGTTTTTTTAAGCATGTCAATAACGGATTTGTTCAAAATTTTAAACTTTTGGGTTCAACAATTTTTGGTAATTTCAGCAATGAATCAGTATTAAGGATTCCAACTGGGGCTAATTCTATTGGGAAAACACTTTATACATTGGAAGCAATTAAGAAGGATAGGATATTTATAGATTTAAGGATTAGTTTTTTTTTTCTTCCTCTTTTCATATTTGGGTATTTATAGATTTGTGAATTTTTACCTTTCACGATTATTCATGGATAATGTTTTGGCTTTAGCGAGAGAAACCTCTTTACTAAAGTTCTTTCCTAATGCAAACACAATTCAACGAGACCCAACGCACATCAAACACTCATAGGGGAGTAGTAATTCTACTGCAATTAATATTAGTAACCCTAGGATCAACTCTCTTCCCTATATAAAGTTACAAACCAGAGAGCAACTAGTTTGCGTTATCATGAAACCTAGATTCATATTCATACCTCCCCCCATACTTCTTCTTTTTTGCGAACAATATGATGGAGAAAAACAAGGCCAGCAGAGTGATACTCGAAAGCGAAGAAGGCGTACGGTTTGAAGTCGATAAGCCTCTGGCGATGCAATCGGAGACGGTCACTTGATCGCGAGGGCGAAGGCGCGAGCGTCGTGCGGTTGCTGTGTCGGTCCAGTTCTATCGACCATCGTCGAGTTCTGGAATATACGAGCGGCGAAGGTGGCGAAAGCGATGGCGACGAGGTTGAGGCTGTGGTACTCCAGCTTCGCGGGTAACGTTGAAGAGCTGATGGAGATTGTGAACGCGTCGAACTATCTTAATTGCTACGAGTTGATTAGTTTTACGCGCAAGGCTGTGGAGAATATAGCGCCCGAGGATGCAGCTGTTTACTTTGAGTTGCGGGGTTCTGATCGTGAGGGTGATTAAGGCTTTTTTTTTCCCCTTTCCTTTCCCCCAAATAGATTATATATTTACTTCTTAATTTTCTAAACAACGATACGGTACTAAATTAGTGGATGCATTGAATTTATCATTTGACATTTTTATGATACCGAGAGGTTATCACAGGATTGGCAAATATTTGAAGTGCATGAATTAAGAAAAATATTATATATATAAGGGGATGATGAAGCTTGGTTTTGGTGATGAACAGCGTGAAATAATGCTCACCGTCTTTTCTACATCCAGCAATCAATGACAATGGCAACAAAATTTGAAGTTGTCTAAGATATCCCTAAAAGGAAAATATGATAATCTTATCCTAATTCTTTGTGGAAATAGAACTTCAGTAAAATTTTAGGGTTGTTTGCACTTTGATATTATAAAGTTTACATTTTTTAAAAAGAATTTTGATATCGATACCTCAATGTTTACACATTCTTTTAACTTTGATATCCAAAGTATACGACATTTTTGAACTTGATACCCCAATTTTCGTATCAAACTGTCAGGAGAACTTTTTTTTACTATCAAAGTTAAAAATATGTATACTTCATGATATCAAAGTTAAAAAAATAATAAATAAAAATAAATAAATAAAATAAAAAATCATTACGAAATCAAAGTCGAACATAGTGTAGTTTTTGGGGTATAGCAGATTCGTAGTTTCGAAACAAAAACTTTTGTTTAGGGTCGGTCGGTTTTTTTTTTTTCTTTAGCCATTAAGCTATAACAAAATTACAGTTTTCCCTTCGTTTGTTTGGGCAAATAGGGGACTGATGTGATAGCCAAAAATCTGAGTTGGTAGCGTCTACTAATTCCCAGCAAAGGGCTCTGTTTTGAGATAGTATTATTGTTGCTGGCATGTCCGATTGGACCATTGATTTTCGTATTATTATAGATATAAAAAAAACTATGTTTATTTGGTTAAATAAATGCTGATGTGTGGATACTGTAGCTGAGTTGACAGCCTTTTAAGGTAGATAAACTGACTCAGTATTATCACGGGGTTAACAAAGAAATATCCAAACAGATCATTATAGAAGTTATTATTATTATTATTATTATTTTTGAAAAGTTTATTTTCTCGCCGTTCGTTGTTTATCCAGCGACCAGTCAACGTACTAGTGATTCAGACAAATGCCGGAACTGTAATGATTTATGCAGTCGCAAACGGACCCACGTATTAACTCACGACGGCCCCAACTACGTGGGTCCCGGTTTCCACCCTGGTCAGAATTTGGGGGCTTTCGGATAATGTTACACCAAAGCGAATTACGTCCGCTGTATAACAACTTCGTTAAACACGTGTCTCTCCCTTGTCCACTACCTATTTATAGACCAGCTTTCTCTCTCCTCTCTCTATTTTAGTTTGACCCCTCCTCCTTCTGAGTTTCCATAAAATCGAGCTCAAGAAATTTAGGGTTAGGGTTTCAAATCGCTCGCTCGCTCGTTGGTGTTGCTCGTTACGAGCTAGGGTTTGGAATCGAAACCCTTGGATCTCAGTAACGACAACGATCAGCAGCAGGAGCAAGAAGCGGTCATCGGGCATGGATCTGTCGCATTCGAGCGGCGGCGACCATGGCGACAACTTCGAATTCGCGTTCAACTCCAGTAATTTCTCGGATCGCGTGCTGAGGATCGAGATCGTGGAGGGAGCGGCCGAGAGCCAAGGTGCGCGATGTGAAGATCAGTAGTTCGCCGATTAGGGCTCGGCATGCGGAAGAGGAGGAGAGAGGACATCAAGAAGGAGCAAGGTATGCCTGGTTCTTGAATTGAGTATCGATTTGGGGTTTTTTGACGGTGAGACGTGGTGATGCCATCAGTTAGAGCGCAATTGATGTTTTATTGCTTATTTTGGCAAATTAGGGCTGAAGAATTTGGGGGGTTTTTAGTGGCCTTTTAAGAGGAAACCTTGGCTGAAAACCTAGGATGAAGATTTGTCTGTTGGTACACGTTGTATCTTTTGGTTTTTTTTTAGCTGATTAAGTTTATATGGCGTTTTTAGCTTCTGAATTTGATGTCTACAACTCGGACAACATAGTGAACTGTGACCAACCTGATGCTGATGACGCTGTGGCATATGAAAGCCATGATGGGGAAGCTGTTGCAATGATTGAATCTCCAACAGGTGTGGTTGTTTGGTTGATTGAACTCATTGTTTTCATCAAATTCATATGTTTTAGATTTACAATATGGCTAGAATTTTCAATTATTTTCCCTATGGGGGTGTTAACTGTATTATGCATTTAGTAGTCTACTCAATTGCAAAAACTAACTGAGCGTGTCATCTTAGACCTTATAATAGAGCATATTTCATGCTAATGTGACTGTTTCCCCATCTTCTAACTGAAGTTTATATTTCACAGCAGGACTTTCTCTTTAGATGTTAACTTCTAGGATTAATTGCATTTTGATACTTTGTGGTATAATGTAATTACACGGGTGACGCGGAGGTCTTTGTATCAACACAAATAACATCGAGGTTGCTAACTTTATTCACCGCTGCCCAAATTAACACTGTTTTTTTCTTGACTTGTCAACTAACACAATACGGGAATTCCTAAAATGCCCTTGTTATATTCATATACCCTGCGATGGGTTGTAAATCACACCAGTGACATTGGGGTCTATGTATCTAGTACAATGGTAATACTGACAACAAGTTAACACTGTTTTTTCTTTCTTTTTACTTGTCTTTTTTTATATTGATATGAAGTTTTCCAGCCAGTGGTTTCACGTGTCCGTTGAAATTGTGGGGGAGTAATTTTATATAAGGTTTATTTATATATTTGTCCCTCGAATCTTCCGTAATTCTATATTGTATTCCCTCACATATTTAAAATTGCTCATACATATCATCATTTTGATATGAGAGCTTGTGAATTGATAATAATATTGCTCACCTTTTAATAAATATTTTTTATTAGCTTAATAACTGAATACTACTATTGAAATTAGTTCAAATAAATTTATGATTTATTGGTATTTGTTTTTATTGAGCTATTATTTATTGATATTAGTTTATATTAAATTATTAGTTTAATAAATTTATATTAGTATTGATGATTACTTCTAATAAATATCACGGTAACTATCCACATGCAATGCATGTGCACTTTACTAGTAAATTTGAAAAATGTAATATGATTGCAGTTAGAACACAATTTAAAGAAATTAACATTAATGAATAATGACAACATCACAGGATCACACAGTTACAAAATACATACCTACCAGTAGTTGATTTCATTAAAAAAAAAGATTAGTAATTATTGTTTGCAACTATGCTTGCAAAGTTGCACAAATTCTAGGAGGTCTTGTAACTTGGCACCCCAATTGTTTTCTAAGGGTTATTGCAATTTGATATCCTAAAGTTTATAACCTTTTAATTTTGATATCCAAAGTTTTTTTTGTGATATTTTGCTACCCTAAATTTTACACATTAGCTTTCATATCCCAATGTTTCCACAATTTTCAAATTTGTTACCTCAAAATTTACTCATTTTTTTAAATTCGATACTCAAACTTTGGGATATTAAAGTGTTAGAAGTGAAAACTTAGGGTATGAAAGTTAAAGGTATGAACTTTATCGTGTCAAAGTGTAAGGAAAAACTTTAAGATATTAAATTTAAACGAGGTGTAAGTGTAAGCTTTGGGGTCCCAAAGTGTCAAAAAAAAAAACTTTGGGGTATTAAAGTTTTTTTTCATAAACTTTAGGGTATCAAAGTGCTAATAGCCCTTTTTTGGGGACTAGATGGATTTTGGGAGGAATGAGGGGTATTTTGTCGTTGAGGAGCGAACTTTAAGACCCTTAGGGTTTGAGAGACTAATGAGCAATTTCAAAGATTTGGGGGACTAATATAGAATTATTGAACATTTGAGGGTTATCTAAGTAATCCTTTATAAAATGATCTGTTTCTTAATTTGTTCAACTTGTTTCAATTGCATTGAACTTTGATTGGTCCCCGCATTCCTTGTTAGCAACTTTTGGAGTTAAATCCCACCAAAACAATGAGGAAATGTATTGTCATGAAAGGGCATTTTTTGTCTTTGCATATGCAATGCTAAGCTCCGTTGGGGGGGGGGTGTTTATTGGTTGAAGATTGTTGATTTGGACTCAGACTTTTTATTGGATTTTAATTTATGGTGTTATTCGTTTCAGACTAGAATTTAAATTTAAAGTAAATGTGTTATTGGTTTAGGACTAGGATTCAGATTTGAATTTAATGTGTTATTGGTTAAGACTAGGATTTGGATTTGAATTTAACATGCTATTGGTTTAGGACTAGGATTTGGATTTGAATTTAATATGTTATTGGTTGTCTAGAATCGTTATTAGGACTAGTATTTTAAAATCCACACTCCATTCCAACTCTATAGTTTCTAATGAGAAATTTTCAAGAGAAAATCCATGTTAAAATTGATGGATTATGATGCTACTATGTGGATTTCCTCTCTCCTCTTCTCTTTACTTCTTACTTAAATATTTAATATATTTCAAATTAACTATATTTAATTTTACAATATTCCATATTTCTAAGTTATTTTATATTAACATTGAAAGTATTCATTTTAAAATATTTTAAATCAACTTCTATAAATTTATTTAATTCATTTAAAATGAAATATATTTAATACTATTTAATCACTTAATATATTTAATATTTAACATTAACTTAGATATGTTTATTATTTAACATTTCTTAATATATAAATATTTTAGACATTTAATACTATATTACATACATTGTTATCGAGGCGCAAGGCGTAATGCGGGGCGCAAAAGCCTCTTATGCGCACCATGCGCAAGACGCACAACGATGCGCGTGCCTTACTGAATTGAGGCGCACAACTCAAACTAATATTTTTCAACATAGGATAAAGAAGCATATAAGTAACATGTTTATAAATTATCGCATAAAAAGATCAAGAAATATAATTTTACCTACTAAATCACGAAAGAGTCTTAATTAACATGCATAACATAGAGAAGTTCATAAGTTTTAGAGTCTTAATTAACATGCATAACATAGAGAAGTTCATAAGTTTTCACAAATCACAATGCAAGATAATCTCCAACATAAGCAAAACATAGAGAAGTTCATAAGTTTTCACAAATCACAATGCAAGATAATCTCCAACATAAGCAAAAGTCTATAAAATAAAACAAGCAAGTAACAAATAAGAAATATGTATTTTTATTTAAAATATGATATATGTATTTTAAGTAACAATTAAGTGATTAAAAAAACATGACTGTTCATAATTTTCTAGTTACTATTCTTAATTGCTATTTTCTAGTTAGCATGAAAAGATGGAGAATGGAGGTAACAATTACATATTTACATATTCATAATGTTTTAGTTAGCATGCTAATTAGAGAAGAAAGTTACAATTAGCAAACAAATATACTAAATTACTAATTACTGTTTTCTTTTTATAGGTTAAACATGAAAAGATGGAGAATGGATTAGCACTAATTACTGTTTTCTTTTTATAGGTTAAACATGAAAAGATGGAGAATGGATTAGCAACTAGCAAGAAAGAGTCTATTACATGATGTAAATATGGAGAATGGATTAGCAACTAGCAAGAAAGAGTCTATTACATGATGTAAATATGTAATATGTAAATTATTAAAAAAACAGAAGAAAATGTCTATTACATGGCGCAGGTGTCAAGCGCACGCACGCGCCTCGCGTGCAGCGCCCCGCCTCTGGTGCGGGTCGCAATTGTCCCAGCCCGCAGCGCCCCGCGCCCTAGAGCGCCTCGATAATAATGATTACATACATTTGGTTTGAACTGTTGAAATGGATTACAAGATGCATTCACTTTTGTTGTTGAAATCCGTTAATCGAAATGATAATGGTTTTTTAAATTAATGTTTATTTTTTTGTTAATGATTATTACTCAACATAATAATTTAATTTGAAACTCTTAATGCAATTAATTCACGAACCTAAAATTTAGTCGTAGAATCCGACGATCAGTCTATGAATCCAAAGCAAAAGTCCATGAATCCAAACCAATATTCTAAGGCTCCGTTTGGATATCATGGTGTTTTACTTATTTTCATGGTGTTTTTACCAAAAATAAAACATCATGCGTTTGGAAACCATGATGTTTTTTGAGCTAAACCATCCTCAAATTTCAAAACACCTTTTACGTGTTTTAAGTTTGGTGTTTTGGTTTTGAGTTTGAGAATGTGTTAATATAATATCTAACATAATATATTAAATATAATTAATATATAGTTATTATCAACATACTTATTATAGTATACGATATTATCTTATAATTAATCAAATATATTAGTAATATTTATTAAATAATATAAATATATTATAATTAAAATATCTTATAAAATAATATAATAATGTAAAAATAATATATTCATAATGTAATAATATTGATTTATATAATGAATTATTATAGTATTATTAATAAACTCTAATATATTAGAAACTATAAAAATATTATATAATATATAACAATAACAAATTGATATACCAAAATAATTAAGTATATAATTATTTGAACGTAATATGTAATATTTATAATATAATAATAATTATAAAATAACATAACTCATTAAAGTATAATATAAAAATATTAATATATTATAAAGTAAAATAATTTTTAATACAAAAATAACTTACTACTAACAAATGTTAATGTAAAAATTATATATTCATAATATAATAATATTGATTTATATCATAAATTTAAAGTATTATTAATAAACTCTAACATATTAGAAATTATAATATATTATGTAATATTAAAATATTTGTAATATATTATAAATTTATTAATAATGTAGTAGTAATAAAATAATATTAACATTATTAATAATACTATATTCTATTAATAATGGTATAATATTATATTAATAATGGTATAATATTATAGAAATAATAAAATAATATTATTTTAAAAATATTATATAATATATAACAATAACAAATTGATATACCAAAATAATTAATATATAAGTATTTGAAAATAATATGTAATGATTATAATATAATAATAATTATAACATAATATAACTCATTAAAGTACAATATAATATTATAATACATTATACAATATTATATTATTACTATACTAATACTTATAATAAATATTATAATGTATACTAAATATTATAATATTTTATTTATAATATGTTTTATTATAATTAATGTAGAATATATTAATAATATGTTTAATACTAGTGTTGTAATAGGTCAAACTAATATTAACAAAAACACTCAACATGGTGTTTTGAAAACACTTTAAGGGAAAAGCACAACACCATGGTGTTTTTTCACAAAAACACAACAAGAAAAACAAAATGGTATCCAAGCAAAGCCTTAAGAATTCTACTCACCAAAATCAAAATCTAATCCAAAAGTCCGGGGCTCTAACCATAAAATTGGAGTCCCGGTCCCAATCCAAGAATGTCGGATTCATGGACAATTGTCCGACTCCAAATCAACAATCTGAAACAAATAACACCTCCGTGTAAATATGCAAACCCTAGGGTGACCTATGTAGTTACATCATACCACAGGATACTGGAATGTGATTAATCCTAACTTCTATTCTTGTTGAACATCAGCACAACATGTTTTTGTTTGTGATGTTTATTATGCATAAATTTGGTGCCTTGTTCGCCTAAGAATATGAGTACATTGTGTTTTTTGTTTTATATCTACAATAAAGCATGTATGCCTCCTATTATACATAAACTCAATGAATTTTATGATTAACTATTATTAATAAACTCACTGTATTATGTATATTATATGTGAGAAAACAGACTCAAATGTGGACAAAAAATTATAATTTGAATTATATTCACTAATACATATGTACATACTTTCCCTCTTGTCGAATACTTCGTGAGGTGATTTTTTTTAGGCACCTTGTATCATTGTTGTAATATGATGCTTGTACCTAAGCCGCCGTTGTCTACATATTGACAAATTGATGAGTTGGCTAGATATGATTACTTTGGGTTGATCCCTTGGGTTTGCATTCTTTTGGTTTACTTATATTTGTATTGCCTATTTTTTTTTTTTTTTTTTTTCACCTGAAAAGCCTAAGATTTCTTTCCTGTTAATTGTTCCAAATCATTGTGCCATGTTTCCTGCATGTTTTTTGTTGTTTCCTGATTGCATGACAATAAGTTGCATAGACTTCTATTTTCCTTCTATCACGAATTTGCAATCTCATTTGGAACTTCTTTTTTCTTTTTTTTGCCGTTAGTTTCTCAGTGTGGTGGTTTTTTCTCTTTGCTTTGCAGGTGATGAGCCTTTACAAAGTGATTCTTGTTGGGGTATGGATTGCTCTCCGTTGAGAGTAAAGTCAATATACATCAGTTCAGCAATATTAGCTGCAAAAAGCCCCTTTTTCTATAAGGCAAGCCATAAACTCTGTACTCAACATTGTATTGCCTAGTTAACATCATTGGTATACTGATAAAACATTGTTTTGATGGTTTTGTTAGCTTTTCTCGAATGGCATGCGAGAATCTGACCAACGGCATGCCACCTTAAGAATCTGCGCTTCAGGTAATTTAAACTTGGGCAACTCCTTTTATTAATTTACCGCTAATTTAAGATTCATGGCATTGAAGTAGCGTAGTATCTGCTAAAAATGTTGATATGAAATGACTCGCTGTAGTTTTATGCTAGCAGGGTATAGATGTGATGACTTCTTGTAGTTCTATGCTAGCTGGATATGCTTTTTCTGTTAACTTATAAAAATCTTGAGAGCATGATTCTTCCACTAACTTTCCTTTTTTTCTCTCTATTTTCTTTATCTACCATCATGGCTTATCATTTCATTTCTGCAGCAAATCATCTTTTTAGCAACAGAGTAAACACCACACATCGTGCATTAAAATACAGCTTACTGTTTTCCTACGTGAAACCACATCAACTGCTTGGCATCTTGGTATCTACATTAGAATGTTAATGTCTTGTTATTTGTATAATATATAAGATTATAGTTGATAAGAGGGAAATCTATACAATGGTCTAGACTTCCATATTGAATCATGTCATTGTTTTGTCAGTAATCCTCAATATAAGATTAGAGTTGATGGAGGGAGATCTGTATAATGATGCAGATAATGAAGAAGAGACTGGAAACTTCATGTTGAATTATGAGTTTAGCTTGAGATTTCAATTTACCTTTAAAAATTGGATTTTTTTTTTGTCAGCAATCCTTTATATGCTTGAAAGATTAGTGAGATGATGTAGATCTCTCATCTTTTCTTTTTATTTTTGCAACTTTCCCTAGAAACTAGTAAGCATGACCTGCACAAGAAAATTCTGTTGTTTGTTTGAAAGCATGACCTTAAGATAAATTAACCTCATTTACTTTTTTTAAAATATTAACAGAGGAAGCTGCTCTCATGGAACTTTTGAGTTTTATGTACAGCGGAAAGTTGTCAACAAACTCGCCTCTCCTCTTGCTGGATGTGCTGATGGCTGCTGACAAATTTGAGGTTGCTTCTTGTATGAGACACTGCAGTCAGTTACTAAGGAGTCTATCTATGACTACAGAATCTGCACTTCTCTACTTGGAGCTCCCTTCCAGTGTCTCAATGGCCTCAGCTGTACAGCCGTTGACTGATGCAGCTAGAGAATTCCTCGCCAACAAATACCGAGACTTGTCTAAGTGAGTTTTGAAATCAAAGTTTAATTTCATTACACATGATTTTTTGGGATTTTGCGGAAAACTCTCTGAACTATATTAAATTATTAATACATAGAAAGCCTCTCTGTACTTTAATATTATTCTAAACTCCCTCAACTATTGGAGATTCTCATAAACACCGTCAACTGGTAGAATAAAAAGTCTAAATAGCCATTTAAAAAATTTTTACCTACACTTCGTCGAAAAGGATATAGGGAAATTATATATAGGGGATAGGGTTATAATTGTCCAAAAGTTGTCAAACACGGAGCTATCTTTCAGGCAAGTTCAAGTGGTTTCCTATGATTTATGAAGTTTGGAGGGTTTTGTAAAAATCTCCCAGCTCAGGGGAGTTTTGCGAAAGTTTACCCTTTATATTAGCATGTCACCCTCTAAACACAATTTTTTTGACCATCAGATTCCAAGATGAAGTAATGAATCTCCCTTTCGTTGGCATTGAAGCAATCCTAAGCAGCGACAACCTCCAGGTAGCATCAGAAGATGCAGTATACGACTTTGCACTCAAGTGGGCCCGCACCCATTACCCTAAGTCTGAGGAGCGAAAAGAAATCCTCGGGTCCCGCCTTGGCCGACTCATTCGATTCCCCCACATGACCTGCCGAAAACTGAAGAAAGTCCTAACATGCACCGACCTAGACGAGGAAATCTCCTCCAAAGCAGTCCTCGAAGCGTTATTCTTCAAAGCGGAAACACCTCATCGTCAAAGAGCCCTTACCCTAGAAGACTCAATATCTACCCGTAGATACATAGAACGAGCCTATAAATACCGAATACCGGCCAGTAAAAGTCATAGAATTCGAGCAGCCTCATCCTCAGTGCATCGTGTATCTCGATTTAAAGCGAGAAGAGTTTTCGAATCTTTTCCCCGGTGGCCGAATTTACTCCCAAGCATTTCATTTAGGCGGTCAAGGCTTTTTCCTCTCGGCCCATTGTAATTTGGACCAGCAAAGCTCATTTCACTGTTTGGGGCTTTTTCTGGGGATGCAAGAAAAGGGTTCGGTGTTATTCACGGTTGACTATGAGTTTGCTGCGAGGACTAAACCAACCGGGGATTTTGTGAGCAAGTACAAGGGGTGCTATACTTTTACAGGAGGGAAGGCCGTAGGGTATAGGAATTTGTTTGCGATTCCCTGGACTTCGTTCATCGCTGAAGATAGTCCTTACTTCATCGATGGCGTTTTGCATTTGAGAGCTGAGTTGATTCTTAAGCAGCAGCCGCAGCAACAGCAGCAGCAACAGCAGCGGGTATAGACGGTCAACTCTTTCGTGACTGCATGTGTTTTCGGTGAAGATGTGCCTTATTTTGAGGGGTTGGTTAGCTCCTCAGCTTGTTGTAAAAATGTAAAATGTGCCGGGTTTTTTTTATAATAATAAAGGCGACGTTAATTAATGGATGCACTATGATGACGTAACGTGATCAATCTACTCTTTATCTGGATTGATTGGTTTCAGTTGTGATACTCAAACATGAGCGTCCCGAAGATATTTGCTAATTAAGGGATTCAATGAGAGCTGCATGAAAAATTGCCTCGGATTAAGACGACACTGTAAGCTTGTAACTAGTTTTTTCATCCTAAATATATATCCTCGTGGTCTCAAATCAAGAGGGGAGTCTGTGTACGTAAACTTCTCCTGTGATTGTTGAAGCGAGTCCCCTCAAACTTCTTTGGCATATAAACATCTACTCCGACCGTTTTTATCGCTTCCTAAGCCATGATACCAAAAAAAAAAAAAAAAAAAAAAAGGGAGTTTCGTACTTCCTTTTAAGCAAAGGGGCAAGGGGCATATATCAGCTTTTTGAACCTTGGCTACTTGACGCTAAGCAGACTAGGATTGAAAGTTAGGGGCGGTTCATATATAAATATAATCTAGATAAGGACCTTTTTTTAAGTGAAAAAAAACCAGTCCAAGGTTTGTGCAGGTTTTTGCCAAACATAATTTAGACTCTTATCCAAGTTGGCAGACTTATCCAACTAAGTTAGTGGGTAAGTCGCCAAACTAGCCCAGCATCTTCTACTACGCAACCCTTCAACAAGCGAGGCCTCGCGTCTTTGTAGCAAACCGAAGGGGGGAAGCTAAGAAAAAATGTCACATGACGACTAAAAGTTTTCAACTAATGCTAGGACCTGTTGTAACATCCCACGTTCAAAACTCAAGATTTCCTTCGGTTACAGCAGGTGCAGGTGCAGTGAGAGATCATTTGGTTAATTTATTGAAGAGGCGATGCTGAGAATTAAGTCTTTCTTATTACCCAATAAAAGCCCACTCAACTTTATTAATTAAAACCGAATTGGAAAATATTCCTTTTGAAATTGATAACCCAGAAGAATACGAGGTGGAAAAAGAAGAACAATTAATATGAAAATAATGAAGTTGAGACGATAACATCCACGGCGGGCATCAAATGAGAAGTCTCAATTTAACCATTGGCTTGCAAGGTGGAAACAACGCATGAATTTTTACTGACGACCATCTTGGAAATATGAGATTCTCTATATATAATTCATTATTTGCTAGAAACATGACCATTCCTTGTGTAAATAGTATATTTTCGTGGATCAAAAGGCTCTATTGTTTGAGTTCCTTTCAGGATAAAGCTAATTTTGGCTCAATCCAAAGTACACGAGTGACGCAGCGCGGAAAGTTGTAGCCTCGGAATCCACCAAGGACAAATTTCGAATCCACGAAAAGCTTCGAATCCACGAAGTAAATATTGAAGAAAAACAAATTTTTATTAATCAAGAGTTATGCCTCTAGGGCTTACAAGACCCTACTTAAATAGAAAAGAAACAAGACTTTTACAAGGACTCAAACTCTTACAAGGACTCAAACTCCTACAAGGACTCTAACTTACCAAAAATAGCAAAAGAATTCCTAAAACATTAAAACTCCTAAAAAGACTCCTTATGACTAGAAAAGTCCACCAGTCAAATCTGGGATCAAATCAGATTTGTTTCCTAATCAAAACAGACTCCTAAAGCATTACTAAAATTAGTAAAAAACGGACAAAAATACAGATATCTCTCAAACCGTAAGGAATTTAACGAAACGGAGGAAGCAAACCAAACCATAAGGGGGTTGGTTTGGATGGCTCCGTCTCATTGAGATAGTCGATTTTCATATATAATTCGTCCAATTCCGACGTATAGTTTGAAAGTTACGATCGTTTCTTCGAAACAAGTTATTTTCTTCGACCGGTCCCGCATTTGGGCTTACGACTGTCCCACTTTAACATAAACGTGTCTGCCGTGTGTTCTACATCAATGAGTTTCTTAAAAATCCATAAATTTTTAAGATAGATTGTACAAAAAACAACCATAAAGTATTCCGTTTTGATAATTAAATACCATAAGTTACATTTTGATACCATAAGCTATCATAAATTTTTTAAAATTTACGCATTACTACTATTAATTAATTATGTAAGAAGTGTTGTTACTGGAACCCAAAATAGGGGATCCTGAGTGGGACAGAGAGACGACACCTTACTTGTCCCACTCAAGATCTCCTATTTTGGGGTCCCTGAGGGTATTTTTCTTTAGAAAATTCTCCAAAGATAAAAATATGAGACCAAAAGAGAAGACACGTGGAGCATTATAAAATTAGGAAACGGACCGCTCACCTATCCCTTTAGCAAAACTTTTTTCTTTCTATAATGTGGTTCATTGGAATTTTTCGGGCAACTAAACAGTCCCCTGGCGACCGGTCCAAGCGTCCAACATGCTGGTGTGAATCAGACAAATGTCAAAAACTGTAGTGAGGTATACAACAAAAACGGCCCCACTTATTAACTCACAATGGTCCCACTATTATGGGTCCCAGTTTTTAACCTGTTGAGAATTCGGGTGTTTCCGGAGACCATTTCACCAAAACAAGCTACGCCTACGTCTGCTTAGGGGGTGTTTGTTTTGCTTTTTTTTTTGGGATATGATAGTTTTGGGATGTAAAAAGTGCTTTTTTGTGGTTTTAAAAATCCATAACTTTGTTTGTTTCACTTTTTTTTTGGGATATTGAATCCCTAAATTATAAAACAATAATATTTTATTAGGATTTGTGAAATCCTCTCTGTTGTTTCCATCTTTTTTTTGGGATATAAGGTTTTAGAAATCGATAACTTTGTTTGTTTCAAAACCAATTTTGGGATATCAAATCGACAACTTGGTTAAGCACGTGCCTCTCCCTTGTCCATTTCATATTTGTAGTTCACTTCCCCCTATTTATTACATGAGCTAGGGTTTAGGGTTTCATGAGCTAGGGTTTGGAATCGAAACCCTCGGATCTCAATAACGACAACGATCAGCAGCAGCAAGAAGCGATCATCGATCATGGATCTGTCGCATTCGAGCGGCAGCGATCGAGGCGGCAACTCCGAATTCGACTTCAACTCCAGTAATCTCTCGGGTCGCGTGCTGAGGATCGAGATCGTGGAGGGAGCGGCTGAGAGTAAACCCGACGGTGAAGGGTGCAGTAGTATTGCTGATCGGGCTCGGCATCAGAAGAGGAGGAGGGAGGACATCAAGAAGAAGCAAGGTACGATTTTTATGCTAGGTCATTGAATTGCGTCTCGATTTAGGGTTTTGTCGGTGGAATGTGGTTGATTGGGTATCAATCAGGGCATAACTGATGTTTTCTTGATTGTTAATTGGGGCTGAAGAAATTGGGATTTTTTAGCGGGTTGACTTAAAATTCCAGGATTGACCACCCGTTAAAATCCCGTCTTTTTGGTGCCTACAACATGGGCAACACATTGAATTGGAACCAGCCATGGAACCTTTTTTTTTTTTTTAAACTGTTCCTCTATTTGCAAATGCGTGGGTTTTATTATTATTATTTTCTCTTGCCCCTGGCTGAAAATCTTAGTGGAGATACATATGTTGGTACACGTTATATGTTTTATTGATTTAGTTTAAACAGTTAGGGTTGAAGAAATTGGGGTTGTTAGTAACTTCAAACCATAAGGTATAATATTAGAAAACAAACTTGAAGCCACTTGAATTAGAATAAACTTCTTCTCATCTCATCACATGCAGATGCAGATAATACTAAATCCTTCCAGTTTTAGACTTTCCTCGAAATACATATAATATAACAAGTGTTGTTCTCTAATGCATGCCGTGTAGCACGCAAAATATTTTATTTTACTGAAAATTAAAAGCGTGCCAATCTTATTGCGGAAAAACCTCTTTTTTACTTGATTATGTTAGCACTTGAACTGGTGATGTTTGGTACCATGACAAGTTATGATTAGATATCTGTGTAATTCTTTACATGAGAAGAATAGTTTCCCCTTGGAGGAAGTAGTGTCACGTGACATCGTTTCTTCCAAGGTGGATCCACCTCTGTGATTCATTAAAATATTTTGTTTTCTTGACATTAAGTTTATATGATGCTTGATTAATCTGCTGAATTTGATGTCTACAACAAGGACGACATATTGAGTTACGTGGTTAAACATCATGATTAAGTATTTTTAGCTTATTTCCTAACTAAAATTTATTTCTTGGTTCCACTTTAATAGTTTTTACTCACTTTTATCTTTAAACTTTAACATTGAGATTATTTATTTTCTTTGATGTTTGTTTGAATGTGCTACACCTAATTTAAATTTTTATGTTGATAATTGAATTGATATGAAACAAATATAATCTGAAGCCAACATGAATTTTCATATTAATTTGGACCCACACAAAACCAAGCTTTACTTGAGAAAATTGAATACTTTAATCCAATAAGGTAAGATGATTGATTAAAGATATGCTAAAATGATACAAAAGAGAGTATGGAGTTTGTTCCTAATCATTGATAGACTTCATAAAAAATAATAAATTAAAGATTAGTGCTAGCTCTAATGTACTTTATATGATAAAAGCATCCACATAAGTATAATAAAGTTCTAAAAATGTTTATGTAAATCACTTCTAAAGATTCCTAATTTCACTCATAACAATTAAACTATTCTATAAAATATTAAAAAATATGTCTTTTTTACTCCTGTTTTATTTTTTTAAAGCTAGATCAATCCTTCTTCGCTTTTATCTTTTATCCTGGGCAATTCTAGAGTAATATCTTCATCATCTACATCAATTGCGACATTAAGCTGGAGCCAGATTTTTGTTGTTATCTTTTCTGGGCTCGCTAATCTTTTTATCATCTTAGTTAACTTCATAAAGAAGTTGAATGTATTTCTGATGTTCAACACATGCTTCTTAAAATACAGACTTTGATTTTTTCCCCTATTTCAATGAGAATAAATGATATATATATATATAGTATATATATAGTATAATAGTTATATATATATATATATATAATATATATATATATATTATATTAATGAGTATCATTATCATAGGAGGGATTTTCTCCTTGACGTCTATGTGGCACAATCCAACCATTCTCATAAAGTATGAGAGAGAGCGTGAGTTGGTGGGGATTTGTGTTTACTTTATGAGGATGGTTAGGATTGTGTCACATAGGTGACAAGGAGGAAATCTCCTATGATAATGATACATATTTATCTTATATATATATATATATATATATATAATATATATTATATATATAGAGAGAGAGAGAGAGAAATATGTGTATGCTTGGTACCAAGCACAAAAAGTTTTGTGCTTGGTAGTGAGGTGGCACAATCCCCTCCACTCATTCAAATGGTTACATATCCCCATGCACTCCTCAACCCATGTGAATGTGGTCCCCATTTGAATGAGTGGATGTGATTGTGCCACCTCACTACCAGCACAAAATTTGCTTGGTACCAGCATACCCATATTTCTCATATATATATATATATATAGTATATATATATATATATATATATATATATATATAATATATAATATATATATTATATATATATATATAATAAGCACGTGCTTTGCACATGGACATACTTGAATATTTATATTTTTTTATGATGTGAAATAACTTTGAGTTTCAAACTTTTAGGTTCAAGGAAGCTGATATGTTTTGGGTTTGAAAGAGTTATGGAAGAAAAAAATATAGCATGCACTTTATAGTATTAGCAAATCTATAAATTTTCTTGTACTGTCTATATAAATAACACTTATGCTAAATATGTTCATTTATAAAACTTAGGCAACTATTTTCAAATAGTTCCTTCTAATTGATAAATGTTAATAAGGTTTACTTTTCATCTCTCCAACCCCATAGTTCCATTTACATGTGGGAGAGTCTAGACCTCACCTCACTTGTGGATTGCTTGAGGCGATTCAGCTAAATATATGCTTAAATATATCAACACATGTATAATGTAAACTGAATATATCTCAATAAAAACTTTAAACGATCTCACATAACTTGTATAAGCTAGTGGAGATATATTGTGATATTGGTAAAGATGAATTAAGTAACACTTAAAGCACTTGTGATTTTATTGTAAATTATTTGGATTCAATATAATATTTCCTTAATGAATAATGAAAAGAATTGAAAAGAAAAGTGAACATTTTATGAGAGGTGAAAGGTAAAACTAACATTTAGTAAATTATCATGAATACAATTTAAAAAATAAAGTAGTGATATTTTAATTCCTCAAATTTCTTTTAAAAAAATAAATAAGAAGAAGCCCATGGAACTCTTACATTGCAAGAACTGCAACATTAGCCCTCTTCCCTACCAAAATAAATAAATAAGTAAATAAACTCATTCCCAGGTGAAGCATGCAGAAATTATCATAAAATTATTGAAGTATCAAAATAACCACTTATCAATAAAAAATTTATAAATCTAGAGTAATTTCTTTATTTTGAAAGAACAAAAAATTATTAGTATAATAAATCTTAGAAAAAGAATAAGAAAGAAGTAGCACAAAAGAGTTGCATCTTCAACCATCTACTCTACAACAAAAGTTAACATGACAACCATGCTCAAGGGTCACAGTTAAATCAAATAGAATATGCTAAAAAATATTTAATATTCTTTCACCATGAACCAAAATAAGAAGCATATCATGTAATTGTCATTAAAATAAAATCATTATAAGGACGTAGAATTGCACGAATTAGGTCAAACTTATTAGTTGTCATATCTATGCTATACCTCAATTGCTTTATTATTCACTGAGCAACCAGTACATTGATTTTATAACTTACTAATCTTATTATCTTATACAACAACCTTAGGCTTCAAGCTAATTATATTTTTTTGGTACTTTCATTTGTTTGATATGTTTTGTTAGTCTTTGACCTTTTTCATTATAAATGAAATGAATATTTACAAGAGCACTGACATGCTATGATGCACGGATACGGATACGGGACACGGATACGACACGGACACGGATACGGGATACGGCAAATGTTTGATATGTTTTGTTAGTCTTTGATCTTTTTCATTATAAATGAAATGAATATTTACAAGAGCACTGACATGCTATGATGCACGGATACGGATACGGGACACGGATACGACACGGACACGGATACAATCCATCACAAAATAACAAGTTTGTAAACAAAAAGGAATTTGAGTACATACTCATTCCATCAAATCACAACATAACAAGTTTCACAAAATAACAAGTTTGTAAACAAAAAATACATCAAGATGAAGTGGAAGCTAGTCCAGTGACTTCTTCATTGCCTTCATCATCAGCAAACAATACAGACTCCATGGTGGGTTCATCAAGAGACAAGGTGGCGACATCAAGAATACCGGCACCCTGAAATGAGTCGAATGCATCTCCACCAATATCCCACAGCCTCGATTCTCCTTCTTGATATTCTTGGGATGATCGAGAAAGCAAACGTAGATTGCTATGCACATACACAAGATCTTCTGCCCTTGACGGTGTCATCTTGTTCCTCTTCAAAGAGTGAATGAATGAGTATGTACTCCAATTCCTTTCGCAGCAAGAGGATGAGCAGGGTTGGCCTAGAAGCTTAAAGGCCAATGCTTGAATATTTGGAGTTGAGGATCCATAGAGCGCCCACCATGATTTTGGATCCATCAATCCTCTATCGGTAAGAGAATCTGGATCCCTAAAAGTGTCAAGAGCAGCCGAGAATCTAGCAAATTCCAAGTTAACCGTCCTCCGTTCATCGGCATTAGGATAATATCTCCTCAAACACTTGGCCCTTTCCGAAGAGATCTCCTCATCCTGATGGGGTGCTTGCCGATGGATATTCTCATTGAGCCATGTCTCGTGATAATATCTATTAAAGTTTAATATTGAATTAGATATTATTAATAAAAATTATCACATCAAAAATAATAAATTGATACATAATCTAAATTATTACCTTGGATTCAAAGAGTGCGCCAAGCACTCAAGTGGCGTGTTGCTCTTATTCCATCTATCCACCAAGATCTTGTGTACGACATCATAAAATGAGGAGGGGTCATTTTCTCTTTTGCCCTCATGTCTATAAATAACAACATTCACTTTCTCAATCATTGTATCCCACATATCATATACCAAATGAAGGCTGGGCTTGTCGGTATCGGTGAGCCGAATCATATCATATATAGGAGCAGTGAAAGCAATAATATAATCCACC